TGTTACAGTTAGGAAGTATCTACAGACTGCTATATCTCTGGTGCTGGAGCACAGTGTGTGTCTGCGCTGAGTTGTCTTGCCACTCTCAAACTGATGTCAACACCACTCCAGTGGGGAGTTCAGTCTCTGTTTCAAGCATGGTGTGTGATCCTTGTAGAGAAGATTGTATGAGAAACAAACATACAGGAGGTCACCGAGATCACAGGTCTAAATGGGTCAGGAATTCCAGGGAAAGAGCTAATTTTCTAAGTGATTAGCCAGGAAATTCTCTTACTTCCTAACCCAGCAATCTGTTTCAAGAGCAAGGCACCCGAACTTGGCCCATCCATCACATTTAACACCACCTGATTCTTTTATATTAATGAGAACATTTTTCTATTTTCATACCTTTCTTTAATTTTAATGATATATTATCATAAATGCTAAGAAGGTTTTGTTACTATCACTTAAATGTCTTCTACAGAAAAATACTTAACTTGTTTAATTACAGATGGTGGTAGATTTAATGGTTTTAAAGCTTTATATTTTTATTAATTTTACAGATATGTAATATTCTTATTTTGGAGGGGATATGTACACTGTATGAAAAAACTTTAAGAATTTAATGCGGTGTTTCTCATTTTAGATTTTTACATTTAACAAGTACAAATCCCCATCTATAAAAGTTATTGTGAAACTTTGGGGGAAAACATTAGTTGTCATTTAGCAGAAGCTATGCTCTGATGTTTTTTAATAGTTTGTATCTGGCTTAAATTTCATACACAATTTTGAATAGTGGGATAGACTATAAAATTTTTTTCTTATCCCCTCTAAAGGATTCTTAATTTGAGTAGTAGTATTGTGGGATTGGTTTTAAGGAGAGGACATCTTGGATGTCCAGTTCTGTGGTTAATCCCTTGCTTGCCCATCCAATGACAACAAGAGACTTTCTGATTTAAAGTCTTTTAAATTGACTAGTACTTTATTCTGCTTCTATTTTCCTAATATGCACTGCAGATACAAAGGAAAGCCTGAGAATATGAAACTAATAAAAAAAGACACTTAATGATAGGACATAATTACTATACCAGCCACTGTGGATGTTACAGCTCTTGTCATATTGTATTTCATTGTGCTTCCCCAGTGAAGTCAAGCCTAGGAAGTGTTACAGAGGCCTAGCTTTTTTTTTTCCCCCAAAAGGGTGAGGTCTGCAGTAACTCAATTTATATATGAAAGTAGATTCTAAAAAGTGATCTGTCTGATCCAAGTGATTAGACTAATTCATGTCCATGTGATGGGTATTTATTTTTTTTTTATTAGCAAGGCTTAAAGTGAACAAATTATCAAGACATCTGTATCTTTTGGCCATGCTGTATGTTTTGGAAGAGTATGTGAAAAGAAGACTGACCCAGTTTCCTAATGAAGGAATTTTTTTTGTTCTCTGTCATGCTGAAGAGCTGGTAAACTGTGCAGGTGATACTCATTCCCTTCAATGTGCTTTTCTTAGCTTTATATTATTGAAAGAGATAATATCTTTGGAGGAACATGTGTCAAGTGGGAACCTTGGCATAGGTTTGGTTTCAGTGGTTTTAAGGCTTAATTAATGAAATGCCTTGATAGGCTTTCCAAACTTTTATATGTATACAACAAACCAGGGAGCTGGATCTCCTGCTATATTCACATGCCTGGTGTCTATCAACTAAAGCTGTCATCAGTGACTTGGGCAGAATGGCAAGAGGTAAAACCTTCATGTGAATTAGCCAGTAGGATCTGACACATACAAGGTTCCTGATTAGCACCTCAGTATTTCAGCACCTTAAGCACCAATAAACTTCAATCAGTCAACAATAAAGTGAGTGTTTCAGCTAGATTTGTCTTGCTTGTTTTTACTATTTTATTGGCGATCAGTAGAAAATTCAGTCATTATGACCATTAATAATACTAGTAAAGTTCAAAGGGAAATGTACTGGTTTTTTTTTGGGGGGGTGTTTGAGACAGGGTCTTGCTGTGTACCTCAGGATGTCCTAAAATTCACAATCTTCTTGCTTAAGCCTCACAGTGCTGGGATTACAGGCATGCACCACCACACCCAGCTTTGTCCTCTGTTTTTCAAAGACTCTCATTTTTTTTTTCAAATCGTCCTGATTTTTTTTATTTGCACTTGAATAGAGATTGAAATTTTAAAATATCATTAAGGATAAGAACAATTCTCAGATATGTTTTACAGAGCCTCAGGTGTAAGATGAGGTTGTAGATGTCAGTGAGACAGGTTTCTCATTACCGTAGCGATACCATCTTTATGACATCTCTGGGGAGGAAGTGGAATATACCAACCTTTGAGACATAACTCTCCTACTTTGAAGCTGGAGAATAATTTCTCTTGCTTGTCAATTCTGGTACCTAAATAAACACAAGATATCTGTGGACTAAATTACATAGAGCTGTTTGGCTTGAACCTAAATATCTCAGCGTTCCCAGGTTTATGGTATGTATCATCATCATTCCCAGATTCCTCAAAAGAGGCTAATTTGACAGTTAATATTTGTAACTTCTTTTTTTTCCCCAACTAATTACATAGGGTGATTATTAGGTTAATTTCTTTGCAAGTTTCAAGCAGAGAAAAATGGGGTAAAGTCCATTTGTAGGTTATTTTTTGTTGTTTTACTTTAAAGATATTTTTGCATGTATCAATGACATAATGTATATTTTCATTATACTGTAATCATATAACACACATAAAATAAAAATATAAGCTAGGTGTAATGGCACACACCTATAATCCTGGCACTCTGAGAGACTGAGGGAGGAGGATTGCAAGTTTGAGCCTAGTCTATGCAACTTAACAGTAGCAACTTAACAATAGCAAGACCCTGTCTCAAAAAATAAAAAGGGCTGGGGATATAGCCCAGTGCAAAGGCCAGTACTACCACAAAATGAATAAACAACAGGCTGGGCATTTAGCTCAGTGGTTCTGGCGCCTGCCTCGCAAGTGCAAGGTCCCGAGTTCAATCCTTGGTACCAAAAAATAAAATAAACAACAGATTTTAAAATTTTCTCTCTAGAAGAATTAGAGTGCTTTCTATCTTTCAGGAAAGGAACTGCAAAAGGTCTGTATTGCATTGTTTTAAAGTCCAAACAAGAGAAAAAGTACTAAATAAGAGCACTTTTATTAGGTATAAAATTCTGAAACATAAACCTTCTATAGGGTAAAAGTGTTCAAGGTAAATAAACCACTTTTGCTTTCACTGTTACTTTTTTTTTGGTACCGGGGATCAGACTCGGGACCTTGTGCTTTCGAGGCAGGCGGTGGAACCACTGAGCTAAATCCCTGGCCCCCACTTTTGCTTTCAAAGACAATCTTTACAACAAACCTACAATACAATTTATTGCTTACATTTTACAGATTATCATATAAAGATTCATTTGCACATGAGGTAAAAATCATAAAATTTATTATGGTGTTTTTTTTTGAGACAGGGTCTTGCCATGTACTTCAGGCTGGCCTTGAACTCACTATGTAGCCCAGGCTGGCCTCGAACTCGTGGCAATCCTGCCTCAGACTCCTGCGTGCTGGGATTACAGGCATGAGCCACCATGCCTGGTTTAAGCTTTTTTTGGAGGGGTTATCAGGGATCGAACTCAGGACCTTGTGCTTGCCAGGCAGGCTCGGTGCTACTGAGCTAAATCCCTGGCTCATCTTTTTTTTGGGGGGTGGTACTGTGGATTGAATACAGAACCCTAGGGATGTCAGGCAAGTGCTGCACCATTGAAACATATCCTCAACCTTTTCTAACCATTTTAAAATGTATATAGGTCAGTAAACTATATTCACATTGTTTTTAATTGATATAAGTGGGAAAGATTTTAGCAATAATCCAGAAATGTCTGATCACAGACATTTGAAAATTTAAATATTGGAAACATTAGAAATTTGCATTATTTCTTTCTTTCTTTTTTTCCCTTTCTTTCTTTTTTTGTTTTTTTTGGTTTTTTGAGACAGAGTCTCCCTTTGTAGTTTAAACTGACCCTGAACTCACTATGTGGCCCTAGCTTGCCTTGAACGGTCAGCGATCCTCCTGCTTCAGCCTCCTGAGTGCTGGGGTTACAGGGGTGTGCCACCACGGCCGGCTCAAATTTGCATTATTTCTAATGGCAAATTTATTATAAGAGTTATAGTTTATGAATATGGTAATTTGCTGAAAATTAGTTTTCTTTTTTGCTGCTTACTCTTCTCATTTTACCCTTTGCTTGTATTAATAACAGACTTATTTGCAGTTTTACATCAAGGGCATAGTTCTGATCTATAGTATTATCACCTCCTAAAGATGTGAGAGGAAAATAACACTCCAGACCTCTGACATCACCCTGATCTAAAAGCTCCATACAGGAACAGCTTAAGCAGAGCTACTGAATTTAAATTAGTAAGCGATATATAAATTGGTCAGAGTCTTTCTCAGGATGGGAGATAGAAGCAGCAATAAATCAGCAAGAATTACAGTATAGGTTCACTTTATTCTGGCTTTGTGCCACTTATGGATACTAAAACCCGGAAAGAGCAGAAAACCCTTTGAACTTATATTTGCAAAACCTTGTGTCCATTCTTTTATCTTTTGGATTTCCTTTATTTTTTTTTTTTCCTGTTTATTTCCTCGTGCCACCATCTCTGCTTTGTCAGGTACACAATCTGCTCAGGTACGTTTGAGTGGCCCTGATTTACATGTGGTAGCTTGCTGATCCAGAGAAAGGTATTGAGGCTTGTATTGGATGCAGTTGGGCTGTGGCTCACTAGGGGGAGCAGAGGATCTGAGAGAGGCGAGGGAAAGAACGGTCGGGTTAAGTAAGTGGGTGCGTGCACTCACCAGGAGGAGGAGGAGGAGGGGAGGGGAGGGGCGGGGCGGGGTGAGGGTGGCCGCCTCTGGCTGCTCCACCCTCACTTTGTCAGCAGGTAGAGAGCGTGATTGCAGTCCCAGGGGAGGGAGTCAGAGCTAGAACACCAATTACAAACCACAGGCTTCCTGCTCTAGGAGTTGATCCAGAATTGTCTTTCTGGAAGGGAAGCACTCGAATCCTTTCGAACTTTCCAAGTCTATCCATGATTCAGATATACTGCCTTCTCCCTCTGGGATTTTCTGTTTGTGGTAGTGAATTGTTGCTGATGTATTTCTACATTGCTTCTTTTCTCTTTCAAGATTTGACCATTTAATATTCTGTTCGGAGAGAAAAAGAATTTTTGTTAGAAAAGAGATTTCAGAAATGATTTTGGATCTTCTATAAATGTTTTTAGAGTTCTTGGGGATAGTAGCTTTCATCCTGGAATAAGTTTCTACCTTGACCTGCATGGATTATTTTTTCAGGCTTCGGAATTTCTCGGCACCTACCTGTAGTGTGGGACACTTGGTTTGGTTGCAGAGTCTGAAGGTGGAAGAATGAGCTGTATTTGGTTAAGCAGTTCTAACCCTTTTTGAGCAGGATTTATAAAAGCATAAGTGAATGTGTTTCACCCCCGTGGATTCCAGTGGGCCCGACAGCGCAACAGGTTTGCAGATTTCTTTTGGAATTCTTTTTTTTTTTTCCTCCTCTGCTTCAGGAAAAGAAAAGAATATTAACAGGTTCATGTTCAGTTGCTTGGCTTTTTAGCACTTATTCTGAAGACTTTTATGAGATCTTTTAAACTTGACCTCGAAGCACAGTGGGCTTTGTGGGTGATGTGCATTTATATTCACCTACGGGTGCTCATTTTAAAATATTATTCTGGGTTTATACAAAGACCCAACATTCTCATATATGCCTAGAAATAGCACAGAACTGCTCTACTCAGGCTTAATTGTAGTTTTTTAGGGTGTTCTACTTAGAGCCTGACTAATCACATCCCTGATCCTATCTTTTATTCTTCACCCCTCAAGGAATTTGTTGGGAATAGTTCTTTTTTATATATATATAAAACTAAAAAATTAGTTTATGTCTGGATATTAGTTTCCAAAAGTGTCTTATAGGAAATCAAGTGCTTGATAGTCTCAAGCTAGAGAATAAAATCTGGAATCTCTAAGAGAGAAAAGAAAATGGTGATAAAAATATGAATTTTAACTAGGAAAAATAATTGGGAAGCTAATCTTTTCAAATATTCTGATTTTGAAAACTGTAAAAGGTTGTGATGCGCAGGATTACCCTGTAATACATGAAGATATTCGTACCTAATTTATAGGCAACTTTTGGTAGAGTACATAAGTTATGATATGTTCAAGTTCATGAAAAGCATATAAATTCAGTGGATCTAGAACTTTGTACTATGCTGAAACACAATTTAATCTAAAAACCTTTCTGATAAATGTTGTAGCATCACTCCAGGTGTGGTATGAAAATTTTATTATTCCTTCTCTTCTATTAAAAAAAATTCTTTGTGGTCTTTAATCATTTACAATTGACCAGTTTGTGGCTTAAAAGGTCTGTGTCTTCATTTTCTGAGCTGGAGTTATTCATTCTCACCTTCCATGCATAGCCTAAGCTGTTTACTCTGCCTTGTTTTGTTCATCAACACTGGGTTTAGTGCCTTGGCAACTTGATGCATATGGAACCAACACCAAGTGATTTGACATAAGAAATACTCACGATGTGATGTTCAATCTCAAACAAAGTTGGAAATTCCAAAGAGAAGTTGTGTTATTGCTAGTCAGAGTGAAGATGGGAGAAAATGACATACCTGCAGCAGAAGTGGGCTGAAAGTTACCCTCTTCTCTGCCCAATCAGGAATGCCACCTGTTCTTAGGAATAAACTTTAGAGAAAGGAAAGGCCAAAACTATGACTTGGCTTTCTGAAACTGAAGCATGAATTCTCTTTTCTTCCATTTGTCTGGATCTGAGACCTGCATTTGATATTAGCTAGTGGAAGCAGTATGTATGGCCAAAGTGCATTGCGGCAGCTGGTAGCATGAGTGGTGGCCACCAGCTGCAGCTGGCTGCCCTCTGGCCCTGGCTGCTGATGGCTACCCTGCAGGCAGGCTTTGGACGCACTGGACTCGTATTGGCAGCAGCGGTGGAGTCTGAAAGATCAGCAGAACAGAAAGCTATTATCAGAGTGATCCCCTTGAAAATGGACCCCACAGGAAAACTGAATCTCACTTTGGAAGGTGTATTTGCTGGTGTTGCTGAAATAACCCCAGCAGAAGGAAAATTAATGCAGGCAAGTATAACTTTATTTCATTTTCCTTCTGTTTGACTATGCTTTCTCCTTTTGTGTCCCAAACTAAATGCTATACAAGGGCTTCTGCTGCTTAGCTTTCTATTCTATATTTTAAGGGAAAAAAAAATTGCCTTATTGGCATTCTAAAGCATATTCTTTTTTTATACTCAAGAAGAAATATATAAATCTTATAATTTAGAAGATCCTTTGCTTTTATTTAACCTGTATTGCATAACCTTTTTATATATACATAATAAGACATTTCTTTGCAAGTGATATGTTCTGGGCATTATTTTTTTATAGATGAAATATATGGGCTTATATTTAATTGATGGGGAGTATAGTTTACATTCTGTTAAAATTTGAAGTGAGCACTGAGATGGCTGAATTTCATGGTCAGCAGCACCCTGAAATTCTAGAATGCTCTTGCAGCATATTTGATTACAGTGTCACTTTTAAAATTCAGTCAAGCTTGAATGTGATGGCTGGCTTTATACCACGTGTGGCACCCTACTGCTAAGCCCAAAATGGAGAGGACTGGATTACAAAATGGACCCAAAGTGTAAACCACCTTGTAATCCCTTTGGTTTGATCAACACACAGTTTTATGTTTTTTTCAAAAATTTACGGTAACATCTGCTTTTTTTATTGACTCCACAGAGTTTTTCCCAATATCTTCGGCTTTCAAGGCTGTGAGTTTTGCCTGTAATGTTCTCAGCCTGATCTTTAGGCGTTGAATTTATAAACTGACTGAAGCCATAGCCTTTCATAGGCTAGTTGCTTATTCTCCATGGTGAAGACAGAGTTTAGAGGGTTATACCTTTTTAATAGGCACTCTACTATCTTACTCCATTAAATGATATTGTATATTGATTAAAATTCATTTTATAAAATAACACTTGTTGCTGTAGCTCTTAGACACAGTTAAAAATATTCTTAAATGTGATTGATCTCAATATCCAAACTGAAATTTTTATTTTGTGATGTGTATAGGGTATGAACATAACCAAAGTATTGTAGGAATTTAAATTTTTGTCTTAGAAAGAGAAGGTAAAAAGTGAAACAAATTATAGAGTTCTTTTTCAGATATAAATTTTTAAATATATAGTTCAGCAATTCTTTGTTATACCTCTTTGGCGTTATTTTGAAGCTGAGATAAATGAAGTGGAAGAAGAATTAGGTGAAATGAAGGTTTTGGTATTTAGAAAAATAGGAAAAGAGTATATCTGAAAAAAAGACAAGGTTTTTTTGAATGAGTATCATTTACTATGAACTCTAGGATGGAATTAAAAATACTTAAAAATTGAAATTATAAATCATTTTGCACGTAGCCACTGGAAAGGGAACTTTTGCCCTTGCCTCATTAATACCCTGAAGGATGAAACATGTGGTCCATTTTAATGTTTAGCATAAATACTATAAAACTATATTTTTGTATCTCACAAGTCTTTGCGAGCATACTAAGTTTTATGCCTTATATCCTGTGATAGCATGTTCAATGAGTTAATTATATGCTACATAAAATAATTTCCTTTTATTTTAAATTTGTTGTCCTGTTATAAAGCTCTACATAAAGTTTTTGTGTTTTCATAAAGGAAAAGGTATATAATAAACACCAGTTGATATTCTCTTTGCCATCCATTTTATCAATCTGTATCATATCTTTTCTTATTCTGCTCTTTTACTCACTCTCGCAAATCATGCCAATCTCTTTAACTATTAACTTTGTGTCTATCCATGTACTTTAAGTATTGTTTCTTGTGTTAGTTTTTAATCCATACCAATTATTAAATTTCCTTAATAGCCTCTAATGAGGAACTGTTTATTTATTTATTTGCGATAGTGGGGATTGAATCCGGTGTTTTGAACATGTTATAGATACATTCCACCACTGAGCTACATCCCCAGCCCCACCGGAGCAACTTCATTTTTAAAAAACACCTTTTGAATTATATGCATTGATTTTTATTTATCCACTACTTGATTAACTCCTTCAGAGAACTCCAGTGTGTTAGGGACACATGGTTTACACTTGTAGAATCTATGCTATTTGCTCCTTATCAGATTACACTGCAACTCAGGTTTACTCAACTGTGGTTAACCAAGCTTTCCATTTAGCTGAAGTTCTGTGTATGTCTCTTAGATTTTCTGCTTTTCAGCCCTGTAGCTTTCTTGGTGACTAGACATACCCTGCTGTCACAAATCTAAAAGCAGTCTTCTGTTTTGATTGGGGGCGATTTTTTTTTTGGAACCGGGGATCGAACTTAGGACCTTGTGCTTACAAGGCAGGTGCAGTGCCACTGAGCTAAATCCCCAGCCCTGGGGGGATTTTTGATAATTCTAAGTATCTATGTACCTGTGTATTATTCTAGCTGCCTGTTAAGATTGGTTGTCTCCATAGATGCATTTGGGTCTTTGTAAAGTTGAGGATGCTGTCCTCTGGAAAATCTAAAGGTTCATATAGTGATTTAAAAAAAGAATAACCTAGTGTGGTTTCTGAACTTCTAGAAATTTTCTGAAAATCAGATAATTTATGTTTTGCACCAGTTAATTCAAGGTACGTGCAATTTCATAAGGAAAAAATTAATTGAATTTTCATTTGTATTACACTTTTAACTTCACTTAGACAAAAGGAAATATTCCTAGATATGTCCCCAACTTGCTTTAATAATAAAATAGATTGTAGAATTGCTTCTAAAATAATTTTGGTTGTCTTAGCTTTGCCTGATGGACACAGCATCAAAAGCCAAAGCAGAGATGAGTTTTTATCCTGATTCTTATCCCTTGCTCTTTGTACTTAGATTTTCTTTGCCAATAGTAATATCCATTTTATAAGGTATTACAAATATTCTAAAAGTACTAGAATAAAGTAAAAATGAAAGAGGAAATGTTGCTTTTGCTATATATTTTCTTCTATTTCTCAAGTCCTCTTTTCCATTCCAGAAGTCTCATCTTAGTCTTGATCAAATTATGTTGCTTTCTGTTTTGCCCGAGAGTTGTTTCTTTACATTACCATATCATTTCAAATCCCTGAGCCAGTTTGCTATCGTCTTTGAAGTGTCCTAATTCTTTGGTTTCCCTTGCATTTGCCAAAATCGTTGTCCCTTCCTCTTCTTTAATTTCCTTCCACTTTTTAAATTTTACTTTGTTTGCTACTCAACTTTTATATTTAGGATAACCATCCACTACTATTCAGTTGGTATTTTCTTACTAGCCATCAAAAAACTAGGTCAAGGAAACATTCCAGATCTCCTAATTACTTGGTGGAAACTGATAAAGAGGCCTACATGGTAGTGATTACAAGGTCTAATTTAATTTCCATTTGAATATATTCTTTTAAAATACCATTGTAGGTGTAAAATTTCCTGGAATTTATGCATTGTTTAATGTCTAGTTTTCAGGCTTATTTACCTCTTTTCAATGTTTCTGTAATTTTTAGTGATATTGTTGCCACTTCTGAAAATGATTACAGTGATATTTTTGTATAAATATATTGAGAGGGACAGCTCAAAATCTGTCTTCTCAGAGCAAAAAGAAAAAGGATCTTATTGTAGCACAAGGAAGGTTACCATTTCTCTAACTATCGCATTCTTCCTGCTCAGCTGGTTGTCCTGGATTTTCTTAGACTCCAGGATAAAGTTATGACCAAGATTAGAATGTGCTGCCCTAAGGCTTTAGATCTACAAGGGAAGCGGGGTAATTTTGAATTTGGCTAGTGAGAGTGAACAACACCCCTGGACAAATTCCCCTTTGTGCAATGTCTGTGCTTGCCTCTTAATTTTACCTATTAGTCAACACATAGTTATTCCATCTTTGAATTTTTACTTTATTTGTAGTCAGGGCTTGAAACTTTACAATTAAAGTTTTTGGCTCAAGTCAGAGAGACAACCCTGTATCCTGTAGCAAAAACTATGACCCCCAGGGTCTCGGCTTTTAGTTCTGACCATGCCACCAAGTAGTTGTGTGGTTTGAGACAAAATAGTTTTTATCTTTCTAGGCTTTTTGGGTTCCTTGTCTGTGAAAGTGAAGGAATGAAATATAACAGCTACCAAGCTGATGTTATACGCTTTACATGTAGCAGCTCATTAAATTCTCATTAGAACTTTTTAAAAGAAAAACTTAAGAATTTTTGCTTTTAACATTTTACTGAAGGAAACTAAGGCCTTAAATGTTAATATCTGCAAGGTATTAACTAGTATTAGGAAGAAAGTGGCATAGCTGGAACTTTAATTGCAGAGCCCATGGATTTGCAGCTCTTAAGTTCTGTATACCTGAGAGTACCACAGATGAAGACAGCATTGGCATAGGCTTTCTATAGTTATTTCCAAAGCAGAGAGGAATGAAAGTGATGAGTACCATTGTCTGGAATTGATCCAGAATACACAGTATTCTGCCACCTTCTAAAAAAAATGTTTATGTCTTATATTTTTTTCTCGTTTTGCATTTCGTGTGCAAAGATATGAGTAGATCAGAATGCTGTTTTATTTTTTGGTATTTTGGGACAGGGTATCACTATGTAGTTCAGGCTGGCCTTGAACTCACTGTGTAGCCCAGACTGTCCTCAAACTCATGGCAGTCCTCCTGCCTCAGCCTCCCTAGTGTTTACTGCTGGGATTACAGGTGTGAGCTACCACACCTGGCTCAGAATGCTTATTTATTCAATATCTCTGTTCCATTATATTTTTATTCTTGTTAAAACAGTCTAGGATGACTACTAATAGAGGAACTTGAAATAATAAATTTTGAAATAGTATGAATTTAATTGATATTGCTCAGTTAGAGTTCCTTGGATGCAAATTTCAGAGTAGATTTTTTGATTTTGCTTTGATTCCAGGCTTTAAAAGAAACACAGAGTAAATATTCAAAGTACAGTCAATGCTTGGTCATTTATGTTAAAAGAGGTGCAGAAAATCCAATTAATTAATAATTAAATTTGGAATGTAATCAGAAATGCACAGGCACTGTGTATACACAAACATTCTTAGGTGCTCGCCTCCCTT